ACATTCATCACAGGCTAAAGAATGTCAGCTAGCTAGAGAAAGCAGAAAAGGTTTAAGCCAGCAGTGGACATCCTTTGCAAGCTCACTGACTTTCATAGAGGAATAGGGGAGAAAGTTGATTAACTTTGCATTTAAAGGCAAATCTACCTGATTTGCACTTTCAAAAACAATATGCGAACTGAAACACAGCCAGGCTTTGAAACTGATTCACCTCCAAATTTTGCAATGCCAAGTAATTTGTACAAAAAGGCATATACAATATACTAGGGTAAAGTGTGCAGGAAAATGCATTTTATTATGGGAAATTGCTTTGCAAAAATGTGAACATTAGGCAAAATTATGTTCAAAAATTCACAGTAAAAGGCTGGTGAATTTTCATGAGGACTTGTTTTTACAACTGAGAGAAATTGAAACTGAAATTGACAGACTTCTACTTTCATATATGCCAGCCACATATTATGATTTCCACTCCTAGGGTAGTTTTGGGGTTAAAAAACCTAAACAGAAGCTTGCTCTAACAAAAGAAGAATACTGGGATGAAAATATGCATCAGTAAAAGTATAAAAGGAAAATGGCAAGTGTAAATGGAAACTGGTGCAAGTTTTGATAAAGAAAAATGAAATTCTAAAGACGTGTTGGTAAATGTCTAGTATCACTGATTAGCTCCTTTATTTTCATCAGACCATTAAGCAGAAACTGAAGGCGGCTTTTACCCTAATATTCTCCAATTGGCATGCTATGACCTCAAGTTGTTGAATCTCTATCACACTACAATAACCTTTATGGGTGTACATGGGTACAACTAAATAAGTTACTTGTAATATCTTAAGTAGCCTAGTAAAGACTAAACTGCTGTGGCAGATCTTTCACAGTCTGTTTTGCAGTTCCCAAGGGTCTAAGCCATGATCTGAAACGTCCTTCCTGCTAATTTCAGTGAGGGTTTTTATATAGCCTAGTAATATATTACTTTGGGCTGTGCAGTTTACAAATGAAGCAAGCTGGTCACTTTTCTACTATTCTGATGGTCTCATAGTGTTTGTGTATTTAAATGGATCATTAGTTGAGACACAAGGAAATACTGCCTTAGTAAATAGATATAAATCTCAGTATGGATAGTAACCCTACATATTGTGGACTGCAGTTGACTCTTGCTCCACTAAATATCTAGCAAATCATGTCCACTCAGAAGCCAGTTGAATTCAGTGGGACTTACTCCCAGGTAAGTAAGGTTACGATTAAAGCTCTAAATCTTAAAAGCCCGTTTCTGCTTGAGTTCACTGGGCCATCTAAAGTAACAATTCACCCCATAACTCAAGAAATGACTAGGGATGTTCAAGGATTTTGTCTGATCTTCATTTTTAAGCAAATCAAGCTGGTTTACCGTTTGTGGGCTGTTATATAGTTCAGAATACAGTTATGCTTTCGTTTTTAAATTCATCTGAATTTCATCATGCCATTATTTGATTTTAAAAAGTATTAAAAAGTACCAACCAGAGCTACTATTACGAGAATCCCCTGGGAGAGGGATTAATGGTTAAGCCACTCTGAAAACAGAAGTTCTCTGAGAGGAATAGGTGCCTCCTAACAGCACCCTTAAAAACTACCGTTCCCAGAATACTTTGGCAGAAGCAAGGGGTATTGTAGTGCTTTAAATGTAACATTTGAATGTTTCCTGTTTCTTAGCAACACCTAGTGTAGAATTAGTCCATTAGAAAATAGTTTCCTTTGTTTAAACTGGATTTGTAAAAAAGTTTTTCATGGGGGGCACAGACCTGATATCTGACCTCATATTAGTATGCACCAATTGTCTACCAGGTTTTATTAGATGTCTGTTTAAACATTCAAAAATCATCCACCTAAACAGAAGCCATTTGTTGATCTTTCAACATCAAAGCAAAAATTCTGGTACTTGCAAATCACTCATTAGTTCATTAAAGACTATCAACCTTACCAGCCAACATTCCTAAGTCTTTTCCTCAAGAGGTAGTGCATTGGTTTCAGGCATATCTGAAGCTTTGATAGATACAGTCTCTTCACCCTTAATTTGATATAACTGGAATTACACCCCCCCAAAAAAGTTTGCTATTTACATTTGAATTAATGCTTTCCATTTGAAGTTAACGAGCAAGCAAACCTGAAGTTCTATCAAACATTGCATTGATATCAAACCATATTGTAGGCAATCAAAATGACCTTTAACAACCCATTTACCCAGTTGCATCAATAGTTACGCAACCACGTCCCGTTTCAAATGGATTCCTTCACAGCATCTGTCCACAAGGGCAAACAAAAACCTTTCTGTACGTTCTTTAATTAACTTTGCCTACCTCAGACCCTATTAACATATAAATGAACAATTCATCCTATTATTCCATTAATATAATATGCTGGATAGTATTCATTAGTATAATGAATGAATGAACTTTTGTTCTTTCCACCACAAAATTTAGTAAAAGAAGAGAAGTTTGGAGCCAGCTATTTCGCCATATCCATTTGCCGGTTTACTCTTACATATAGATCCCCACAGATACCTTTCGCTGGTTTTTTTCCTTACTGTATCACCTATTTGCATCAAATTATTTCATATGCATAGAGGGAGGTCAGTATTGGCATGTTTATATTTTGTATCAATATGGAGAAGTCATTCACGAAGCATGTTGGGTATTAAAGAAGGGGGTGCTAGGAAACTTATAAGCACATAAAAAGAGCCTGCTAGATCAGGCCAAAGGCCCATCCATTCCAGCAACCCATTCTCACAATGGCTCCGGGACGCCTGACAGAGCACTCTCCTCACTTTCGATTCCTAACAACTGATATTCAGAGACATATTGCCTCTGAGAGGTAGAATATAGATATCATGACTAGTAGCCATTGATAGCATTATTTTCCATGGGTCTTTCAGATCCACTTTCAAAGCCATCGAAATTAGCAGCCATCACCATCTATTGTTGGGGTGATTTTGTCTGTCCTACAACAAAGGTAAAGGTAAAGGGACCCCTGACCATTAGGTCCAGTTGTGGCCGACTCTGGGGTTGCAGTGCTCATCTCGCTTTACTGGCCGAGGGAGCTGGCGTACAGCTTCCAGGTCATGTGGCCAGCATGACTAAGCCGCTTCTGGCGAACCAGAGCAGCGCACAGAAACGCCGTTTACCTTCCCACCGGAGTGGTACTCATTTATCTACTTGCACTTTGATGTGCTTTCAAACTGCTAGGTTGGCAGGAGCAGGGACCGAGCAACGGGAGCTCACCCGTTCTGATCGGCAAGTCCTAGGCTCTGTGGTTTAACCCACAGCGCCATCCGCATCCCGTCCTACAACAAATGTTTGTTCAATTTGCCTAACTGTGACAAAGAGGGAGTTGAGTTAGAAAGGTCTACAGTGCAACATACTTTAGAAATGGTTCTTTAAATATCCTGCAACATTCCTTTGATTAAAATAGGGATGTTCCATCCAATAATAATAATGATGATGATAATGATAATATTTATACCCCACCCATCTGATTGGGTTGTTCCAGCCACTATGGGTGTCTTCCAAAATATATACAAACAATAAAACATTAAACTTTTTTTAAAGAAAAAAAACCTCAACAGGGCTGCCTTCAAATGTCTTCCAAAGGTTATATAGTTATTTATTTACTTGGCTCGGGGGTTGTATAACTCCATACCATCCAACATTTCTCTGATGAAAATGGGGACTTCCTAAGAAAAAGCGGGACATTCCAGGGTCAGATCAGAAACCGGGATGGCTTCTGTAAATCCAGGACTGTCCCTGGAAAATAGGGGCACTTGGAGGCTCTGTTTTTATCCTGTTAGCACTCCCTGTTGGCTGTGATTAAATACATTCAAAAACATGTATTTAAATATTAATTTCCATGAATATTTGTAGATAGATAGATGATAGATAGATGTGGAATTGACTTATGTATGACCACCTATGGAAGTCAGAAATCTATCCTGATGCACTCATCCTGATTCCTTCTCTTACTCCTCCTCTTCTGCATTTCCCGTCCAATTCTCCAGACGGGTGGAGTCCAGTCGCAGGATCATGACACTCTATCATTTTAAAGTGACTTTCTTTACATCCATTCCAACTGAGGCTGCAACGGAGACTAAGGACAGCTTTCATCATGAATTAGATGAGCCAGAAGGGTGGGCTTTCTCCCCAAGCATTTAACAATTGCCATTTATTGATTGCTGCCCTCCTTCACTTCTCCACATGAATGATACTCTCTTTCTCCCACAAATCTTCTCTTCTTTCCTGTCCAATACATTCCTATGCACATTTACTCATAAGTAAATCCTTCTGTGTTCAATTAAGCTTATTTCCAGATAGGTATGCATAGGGCTGCTCTTTAACACTTAATCTCTCCCCCCACCCCCATTTTATTTTCAAGTGGAAATTTTCATCATATTGCTATATTTCCTAAATGACATATTTTGCAAATTTTATATTTTTCCTCACCTTCTGTCTTCTCTGCCTCTTTCGCTTATATTGTAATTCTTTAGGCAACTGTGTGTCTCCTTTTTAATTTCTCTGAACTGCTTAATTTATTTTAAGCACTTTACAAACAGTAATACAATTATTATTATGTAATGCACCAAGGCATAATTCAATTATTTGCTACAGGGACATAAACAGTTAGTGCTTTGAATTAGGCCTGCTTTTTATATTCATTTTTTGGCATGAAAAACCTTCACAATTTATTTTCTCTCGCTGTTTTCCCCCCACGGGGAGCATTTATTCTGAAAGGAGCCCAGGTGTTACGAGGAGGTCTGGGATCTACTGAGCCCTGGATTTGACAGTTTTGTATCAGACAGTATAGGCCATTTGCAGAAAAAACCATAACCACGGAAAAATGTAGAAATCACCTTGTGATGACCCTATCACAGGGGTAAGGAACCTCTGGCCTGCAGGCCAGTCTTGGCCTGTGAATACTTCCAATTTGGCCCATAAGGCCATTTCCCCACAAAACCAAACCCTGTGGGGAGTTGGCATGTGCAACCAACCTGACCAGGATTAAACTCCCTGCTCATCAAATAATGAACAGGGGGTTAAATCCTGCTCAGATTGGCTGGATTCAGCGCAAACACTTTCCTGGTCAGGAACCCACTGCTCAAATGAATCACCCCGTCAGTTTCATCAACATTGTGCTCTCCATGACATGCTTTGACATCCTGACTTTGGGACTTCAAAGCACCAAATCACCTTACATAATTGTGAAGTCAGGTGATTGACAGATGAGTGGCCCCACCCCTGTCAAATCTGGTCTGTGAGGCCAATCCTGATAATCCTGCCTTACCATGTCAAAAAAAGAAAACACCAACTGCAGTGCTAGATTTAGGGCAGTGCGGGCAGTTTCCCCAAGGAGGGCGCCAAGCCGAGGGGGCACAGTATAACAACAACAACAACAACAACAACAACAACCACTATAATAGCCTATAATTATACAGATACCTACTCAAAGTTCAGGTAGGTGGGATTTTGTCCTCACTCAGGGCACTGTACAGTGGTACCTCGGGTTAAGTACTTAATTCGTTCCGGAGGTCTGTTCTTAACCTGAAACTGTTCTTAACCTGAAGCACCACTTTAGCTAATGGGACCTCCTGCTGCTGCCGGAGCACAATTTCTGTTCTCACCCTGAAGCAAAGTTCTTTACCTGAGGTAATATTTCTGGGTTAGTGGAGTCTGTAACCTGAAGCGTATGTAACCTGAAGCGTATGTAACCTGAGGTACCACTGTATTACCAAAGTCTGCCCCTGCCAATTGGGCTTAGGAAGGAATGATGCTGTCATTCATCCTAGGTAGCTTGCCCTCACTTCTTCTGAAGGCTGTTTTTCTCTTCATAGAATCATGGAGTTGGAAGGGACCTTGGTGGTCATGACTTCATATGCGGTTCTAAATATCCAGAATTCTTTTAAACTTTAATGCGACCAATGAGGAGTGAAGGAGATGCAAAGATATTATAATTTATTGGCAAAAGGTGTGCCCAGCAATCATATAAAGGACCTCAACAATTAAAAAACAACAGCAGAGCAGTAAAAATTACAACAATGGGGGGAACTAGATTTAGACCAAATTTCAAAAGGATTGGGGAAATTAAAAAAATTGTTTTCTCCTTGTCCAAAAGAGTCAAGAGAGTCAGCACCTTGGGGCATAAAAGTGGGCCTACCAATGGATTCTTCCAGAAGTATGGGGGAACCACAACCACCTCCCTTCCATTCTTATTCTAAATGGATGTTCCAAACTGATTTGCCTCCCACCCAGCCCCTCACTTAGTGAAGCTAAGATGACAGAAAAAATGAAGAGACAAGAGGCAATGCTCAGGAGTATAGTTACTGATAAATAATTACAACAAGGACGTTATAATTATTTAATTAAAATCTCTGCATGGGGAGAGATTATGAGTCATTTGTGCTCGTAGTCTCATTTAGATGGTACTAGTCATTAAGCAATTTTGCAGCAGTCAGCAACTCGGGGTCCATGCAGCTCTTGCCTTGTTTTTTCCCAAACCCCTTCGATCAGCAGAATTGTTGCCCTCACGGTATAATGCTGCCGGGGAACAAAGTGTGGCACTCGGTAATAAAATAATTACAAGGCAGTTTGGGGGTTTTAAAACCAAATTTGTACTTTTAATTAAAAACCGTCATACAAATAGCAGCAAATGATTATACATCTGGGCTTCTGTGCGATGATCTTAAAGGTTGTAGCTTTCTTTTTCTCTTTTTCTTTTTCGCTTACTGGTGAAAAATGTAAATGCTTCCATCGGGATGCAGTGGGGAAACTTGTAAAATCAACATGTGGGTCACAATCACCAAAGAGGTGTGCAAAATGCATAGAGTTCTGGTTTGAGGTTAGGGAGGGTCTTTTGCCAGGATGCTGTTGGTTGGACCATTCTTTGCAAGTCTGGGGTAGCCCAGATTGGCTCTGCAGTTGCATTTGCACTGTGCCGACCTTGATACCACCTCACAGCTCTTCCTCCCAGTTAAGCACAGCAATTCCAGTGCCGAGAGGTCAGGTAAGTCTTCCACACACACCATCCCACTTTCCACTACTACTCAGAGGGCAGGTCAGCAGGCAGTTGGAAGTTTCTGAACCCTTTTCAAAGGCAGCCCCATTTAGAGCGTGTTACAGTAACCCAAATGAGATTTAAGCAAGGCGTGCATCACTGTGGCCAAATTAGACACCTCAAGGAATGGGAGCTCTTGCTTTAAATGTGCAGATGCACTCCTGGCTGTCAAACTAGTGGAGTGCGCAGTTAGTTTAAACTGGACAGGGAAACTTAAAATGTCATAAGGTAACCAAGTTAGAGTAGCAGAAGAAACCCTCTTCCCCAATGTAAGTGGGTGAAAGGATATAAACAGAGCATTGGTAGGTGCCATGTCTTTTGTCCTGGTTAACACACCTTCAGTGCTCTTCTAACATCCAAAAAATATCATGCCTTTTCCAGAGTCAGAAATACACGTTCCTGTTTAGTATGAAAAGGAGACAAGATTTTTGGTATGATGGAAGGGTCTGTTCTTAGCGCCACCCTATCTTCATGGAAGGTGCATAAATGTTTGGCCGTGGATAACACAGCAAATTCAGACACTTGACAAACTGAAGTTATAACAACCAGGAACAAAATGATGTCTTCAGAGAGACATCCTCCAGGAGTTCAAATGGAGGTTTCTGCAATGCTGACAGAACTTTGTGCTGGTCCCATGAGCATGCCAAAACTGCAATCCTGTGTCTCCAGGGGCAGTATTATCCCATCCAGCACTGGCTGAATCCCTATTCCCTATGTGGGTTAAACCACAGAGCCTAGGACTTGCCGATCAGAAGGTCAGCGGTTCGAATCCCCGTGACGGGGTGAACTCCCATTGCTCAGTCCCTGCTCCTGCCAACCTAGCAGTTTGAAAGCACATCAAAAGTGCAAGTAGATTAATAGGTACCACTCCGGCGGGAAGGTGTGCTGCTCTGGTTCGCCAGAAGTGGCTTAGTCATGCTGGCCACATGACCCGGAAACTGTACGCCGGCTCCCTTGGCCAATAAAGCGAGATGAGCGCCACAACTCCAGAGTCAGCCATGACTGGACCTAATAGTCAGGGGTCCCCTTTACCCTTTACCTCTGCCTTGTCTGGATTGTTTCAATTTGCTCACCCTCATCCAATCCATTACTGATGACATACACCAGTTTAGAACAGAGGCAGCTTCCTTGGATTTAGGTGGAAAGGAGAAATAGAGCTGGGTGTCATCAGTACACTGGTGACACCAACCCCTGAAACCCCAGATGACCTCTCCCTGTGGTTTCATATAAGTGTTAAATAGCATTGGGGACAGGACAGAAGCCTGAGGGACCCCACACAGGCCAAGTGCCAAGGTGACAAACAGGAGTCCCACCTTCTGGATTCACCCCTCCAGGAAGCAACAGAGCCACTGTAAAACAGTGCCTCCAAGCCCTATCTCAGCAAGGAAGATCAGAAGGAGACCATGGTCAATAGTATCAAAAGTTGCCGAGGGATCCAGCTGAACCAACAGTTACCCAGTTTCCAGCCATCCAGCAAGCCAACCAAAGCCAACTCTGCCCCATAACCAGGCCTGAACACAAATTGAAATGGATCTAGATAATCCATCTCCTCCAGAAACCTCTGGAGCTGGGAGGCCACCACATACTCTAATACCTTGCCCCAAAATGGAATATTGGAAACTCTGCTGGCATCGTAATAAGAATAAAATGCTTTTTAAAAAACACCACACCACATTGCTTCTTTTTTAATAGTCTGGAAAGGACCTTAAAGTCTCCTCAGTGGAGACAGTGAACTTCTGCTGGTCCAGCCTATCAAGACAAGAACAGGTGGCCGCCCTTCCTCCACTGTGCAGTTCTCACACGCTTTGAGTCCTTACTTGGAAGTAAACAAACCATATTAATCCTCATCAACAAGACACCCATATATCACGGTAGCAGATGCCAGCTTGTTATCCGTTCTCCAACATGCCTTCTGGCGCTGCCAAGCAGCAGCTCAAGGGACCCCAAGGCATCGATGCAGCATGCCTAGTTTCCTGCTTAGCCTTATGTTTTAAATCTTATAATGAATCAAATCCATTTCACCACTGCTAGCCCAAAGCTTCTCTTGAAGTTTAAGGATGCTTTTTTGTAAGAATTGTTTTGCTGGGCTGCTTCAGGATGAATATAAATACAATATATCATGAAGCAGAGGAGAATGGATGAAAAAGGTTCCTGTCACTGAGCTGGTGAGTCGAGTTGTGATTATGTAACGGCAAAGCAGCCCAACCTAGAACCACTACAGAAGAAATGAGAGAGGGAGTTAGGGATTGTATGAGCAATGGGAGAGAGAACAATATTTGTATTACAAATCCAATCCCAAACCTGACCTTAAGGATACACCTCATCCAAAAATATTTTAAGGGATAACAATCTGTAAGAACAATTTATCCTAGGGCATGAAACCATAAACCACGCTTCCTTATTCCCAAGGCAACATTATTTGCTTGGATTATTCCCCAGAGATGCTGGAGATTCCCCAGCAGAGATTCCCCAGAGATCATAGAAAAACTGCATGATCCCCTCCCCCCATTTCTAAAGTTTCTCTGTTTGGTGTCATGAAAAATCAATTGATACGTTTCCTCAGCATTCAGCCTTTAGAATCCGCACAGGTATTTGTACATGCCAAAATTCTCAATGTGTACCTTTGGCCTATATGAGATTTACTTCTGATATAATCCTGGTTGTATATTATGTGAAGGCTTGACATATTTGGAGAAGCTGAACTGGGAAAGGTCAGCACATGAAAGGTGGGTTTTAATAATCAACAGGTGAACTGAATTCCTATCACTTTCTGGCCCAGATCTTCCCACTTTAATAGACCAGTTCTTTTCTCTATTACAGTCAGGAGGGGGAAACCCTAAAGATTTCCAGGTTCTCAAAAAGATAATGCACGGCTATGCCAATTTGTGGGAAACATGCCAATTAAGCATTTTGTGCAGAACTGCTCGCCTTCCCACCCTTATTGTAGAAGTTGGATCTTATGGTCACCACAGTTCTATTTGTGTTTGTAGAATCTTAGGATTCTTAGC